GGAAAGAAAAGTTGCCTAAGAGGGACCTTTGGAAACATGTCTGGTTGCTCTGCTCTGACCTCAGAGCCCTTTTTAGCACTTCCAGTCAGCCTTCCAAGTGAGCAACACACAGAAACCATTTTTACCATCCAAATGCTAAAGATGTGGATTGATTTGAGAAATAACTGGAATCCTGAAGTCTGGCTTGCTAGGATGACCTTTGAACTTGCTGTGACTCTTGATTGTGGAGCAGCCTGTGGGTCCCAAACCTGCCCAGCACCCCTTTCTCTGAGGGCTTGTGAAGGAGGGGAAAAACATAACAAACTGTCTTGGAACAAAAGAATCCAGGAGAGGCAAATGCTATTTCTGTCCTCGTTCCTAACAAGCTTTGTCAGTGTCTCTTGGACTGAACGTGAGTCACAGTTCTTGGCGTGCTCCCATCCGACCGGGAGCAATGACTTCAGCCCTGGAGGAGCCGGGCTGTGGGGCTGAGCTGGGCTTGAGGGGAGGGCCAGGCCTGGGCAGGAGCTGGAGAAGAAACTTGTGCCAGTTGGAATCTTCTCCAGAGTGACCATCAGCTCAGCAGAGCCGCCCGTTGAAGACGTGCAGCCGTTCCAGAGCGCTGCTGATTAATCTTCTTAATTGTTACTGTCCTTCTGCAGAATGCCTTCTCAGCGCTCCTGAAACCCATCTCGGAGCAAATCCAGGCGGTGCAGAACTTCAGGGAGAAGAACCGTGGCAGCAAAATGTTCAATCACTTATCTGCAGTCAGCGAGAGCATCCCAGCCCTGGGCTGGGTGGCCATGGTAAGGACCCCAGTGGGAAGGGGTTGGGCTGGTGGGAAAAGTCTGGCTCACTGCTCAGCTGTTCCAACGTGTTCTTTCTGCTCTAGGCTCCAAAACCTGGTCCTTATGTGAAGGAAATGACTGATGCTGCCATGTTTTACACCAATAGGATCCTCAAGGAGTACAAGGATGTGTAAGTTCTCCTTCAGAGATCTTGAACTCAGTTTAGTGGGTGTGAAGGGGCTGCTCCGGTATCTGACCACAACCGCCTTGGTCTTTAATTCCTTCTTCTTGGATCTCCTTGTGTCCTCAGAGATAAAAAGCAAGTGGACTGGGTGAAAGCTTATCTGAGTATCTGGACAGAGCTGCAGGCCTACATCAAAGAGTACCACACCACGGGGTTGACCTGGAGCAAAACGGTGAGTGCTGGCTCCGTTGGCAGGAGCCGATCAGTGCGTGATTATTGCGGCAGAAACGGAGCCTGTGCAAGTGCCTTTCCTCTCCTCTGCTCTTCTAGGGTCCTGTGGCCACAGAAGGGGCTAAAGCAGCCCCCGCTGCCCCCGCTGGGGTTGCACCCCCCCCTCCAGGCCCTCCCCTTCCCCCTGCCCCCGTGAGCTCCAGCACAGACGACTCTGCCTCGCGCTCCGCGCTCTTCGCCCAGATCAACCGGGGAGAAGGGATCACCTCGGGTAAGTGGGAGTGGCAGAGGGAGGGGAGGAGGGAGAGCAGCCACCAGCGAGGGGACTGCTGGGCTGCAGGGCCTGGTTTTGCTGCTGTCCCCCAGTAAACCTCCTTAGGAAGTGCATGACAAAAACTCCTCTGGTCCCAGTAAGGGGCTGGGAGCCAGAGGCAATGCCATGTGGTGCGTGCTGTGTTCTCATCAATACTGCATCAGTGTTTCCTGCTCCCTCCACTTGTCACAAGCTTGGGCTCAACTTCAGGCCCAGTCCCTGTAATTATTTGCATTTTGGCAAATGTTATCATGATTGGTGTAACCACTGATGTCTCCTCTTGGTGGAACTGCATTCTTGGGGGAGAGCTGGGTCTCAGGTTTGACTTCTCTTGCAGGCTTGAGGCACGTTTCAGATGACATGAAAACCCACAAGAACCCAGCCCTGAAGAACCAAGGGGGCCCTGTGAGAAGTGGCCCCAAACCTTTCACTGCTCCCAAACCAGGCTGTAATGCTAATCCCTCCCAAACCACCTCTCCGAAGGCACCTCCACTGCTGGAGTTGGAGGGCAAGAAGTGGAGAGTGGTGAGTGCCTGCTGTGGGCATGAGTGGGTTGGAGGGATGGGAGCTTTGGAGCAGGGAAGGAGGGGCTCCTGGAGACCTTTCTTGTAAGAGGCATCAGCCTGAAGGCACCTGCAGTTTGCTTTTCAAGGAGCTGCAGTGCCCTGCTGCTCTCGTGGGTGAGTTGCTCTGCATTCAGAAAATGAAGGGTGTTTTCCTTGCCTTTTCAGGAAAACCAGGAGAATGCCACTAACCTGGTAATTAGCGACACAGAGTTGAAGCAGGTAGCATATGTTTTCAAGTGCACAAACAGTACACTCCAAATCAAAGGCAAGATCAACTCCATCACCCTCGGTGAGTGCGAGAACCCCGAAAACTGCTTCTGTGTGCTGTGTGTCTGCAGAACCTGAGTCTCCAAAACCTTTCTGTGACTACTCTGCTTTTTTTTTTTTTTTTGTTCAGATAACTGCAAGAAACTGGGTCTGGTGTTTGATGACGTGGTGGGAATTGTAGAGATCATCAACAGCAGGGATGTTAAAGTTCAGGTGAGCGTCTGTCACCTGCTCTCTGCCAGGAGTGGGACTGCTGCATCTGCAGCGTCTGGTTCTTGGAGTAGTTTTATTTCCAGAACAGGAATGTGCATCTCTGGAGAACATTCATGAAACACCATCTGTCCCACTGCTCTGCAGCTCGCCCAGCCCTCAGGAAAGGGCTAATATTTGCCTCACTGAAAGGGTACAATTTGCTTTTGGGGCTGTGGGGAAAAGCTGAGGCTCTGTGAGGTGGGCAGCAGGAGGCCAGCAGGAGAATATACTCCAGTTCCAGTTTTGGTACCTGGTTTGGGATGGGCAGTTTGCCCAGCATCCACTGAAATTTCATTGTAGAGATCAAACCAAGAAATTAACTTCAGGTTTTTACTAAAGATGGGAATATTTGAGTCCCGCATGTCTGCAGTGGGAGGGGGTGGAGACAAACACAAGAGATAAAATGCTGTGGTTGCCCAGTCCAAGCTAATGGTGCTCTGGCCCTGCCAGGTCATGGGAAAAGTGCCAACGATTTCCATCAACAAGACAGACGGTTGCCACGTGTACCTGAGCCAGAGCTCCCTGGACTGCGAGATCGTCAGTGCCAAGTCGTCGGAGATGAACGTCCTCATTCCCACAGAGGGGGGGGACTTTGTAAGTGCCTGCTGGGAAGTCCCTGTGGAGCTCTGCTTGGGGGATGTGTTTTGAGCCCTGCAGGGAATGTCCAGTTACAGCGAGGTGTGGAGGGACAGCTTCTGGAGTCGGGGGGTTGTGAATGATTCTGTTTTGTGAGAGCTGCTCCTTCCTCGGCATCTCCTGGGGGCAGGAGAGGCAGTGGTGGTGGCTCAGGAGGGTGGCACAGTACATATCTATGAAAAGGAATGCCTGAAGCAGTGGGAGTGGTTACTAGTCTTAGCCATAAACTGATTTTTGATCTGTCTTCACCCTCCAGACTGAATTCCCCGTCCCAGAACAGTTCAAGACAGTGTGGAACGGTCAGAAGTTGGTCACCACTGTGACGGAAATCGCTGGCTAAGCAGAAAAGCACCAAGGCTCATGCCCTCCCCTGGCCCTGCTGTGGGACAAATCTGCTTTCAGATGATTCTCTTAGATTTCTTGTACCTTTCTGCTCTCAAACTGCTTCTCTTCTACCCGAGAGACACAGCTGCCTGCCGTCACTGAAATTCCTCTGCCTGGGGTTTGGGGTAGGTGGCGGGTGAGTTATTGTCCACATCTATTAGCAGGAAGGTGTTATTTTCTCTCCCCTCTTAACTGCACCAATTGATCAGAGTGAACTTCACAGCCAGTCCTGGCAGTTGGCTTTCAGAGTGTTGTTCGGGTTTGGTTTTTTTTTTGTATTTTGCCTTTAAGCAAACTGTTCATGTGAGAGGAACGTTGTCCCCTTTTTAACGAGTAACGGTGTCTGTCGGAGCCCACAGTACCCAGTTGCTATGGCAGATGTCTTGAGAAGGTCCTGGAAGCTGCCAATTCCAGCGTTGGTGGCGTTGCAGGACGTGGGAATGGTTTTGTTGGACCAAAGGGCCGTAGCACTCCACCCTGACCTCTCTTTCATCATTCCTACTAGCTCAGTGTATTTCTGATTGTGCCATGACAGGAGGCTTTAATTAACCCAGTGCCACAGGAAGGCTGCAGTGGTGGAACCCTGGTTACCTGGCAGCCTGGCTGGTAGCTTGGAGCTGAGCACCTCTTACTCCATGAGCCCTCCACCTTCACAAGGGAACCTTTGCCCCAGGGCTTCCTCCTTGGAGCAGCTGAACTCAGGTTCAGTCTTCCAGGACGGTTCTTCTGAACCTGTCCCCTTCCAGCGAGGAAGGGACCTCCTCCATTCCAGGTCAGTTGTAAATACCCGAGTGGGATCAAGTCGGTTCATCGCTCTCTTCCTCATCTGCAATCAGTCCCCATGAAGTGAATCCTCCCCCTTTTCCCCCTGTTGCTTGGCTCTTTATTTTGGTGGGAGCTCATAGCCTCTGTTCCAGGGCCCTGGGGCAGAGTGATGGATCACTCAGTACTGTACTGGCCCATAAAGGGAGCTGCACGTGCTTTGACCTTCATTTTTTTTTTCCAACGCCTCGGGTGGCATAAGCATATCTTAAATGCATTCCCTCTGTAAAAGTGTCAATGTTCTTTTTCTCTAGTACAAAACTTACAAAAGAAAAAAAAATATGCAAAATTTTTTTTTTTTTTTTTTTTAATTTTGAAACTGTCCTGTGACTTGTACTCGTCTTCTCCTGAGGCTTGTGGAAAAACCTTTCTTATGTACTTAAGATTATACAGAAGATAGAATAAAGTTAATGCCAACTTGCTCATTACTGTGGCTCTTGTCTCTTTTTGGGGGCACAGGTAGGACAAGAGGCACCTCTGCCTTGCTTTCCCCAATTCCTTTGAATAGTTTTCCACAGGGAAGCACAGACCTTCCTCAACTCCCCTCGAATCAGCCTCAGTAGTTATCAAACCTCACCTTTTTTAGTTGGTTAGAAGTTCTTTATTGAGTTCAGCTGTACAAAAGTGCATAAAACAAGCCATTAGTTGAAAACTGTCCAAGCTGTTACTACCTGCTGAGTTCCAAACCCTCCTTTTTCCCCAGAAACGCCTAAATTTGGCCCTTTTCCCCCTCCTGAAGGACAGGCTGTAATACAATTCCCCTGCATACAGCCAGGTAAGTCTTGCTGATCCCTGCACTAGTGATTTGGGTTAATACTGCCATTGTGTCCTGCGAGGAACGGGTGATGGGGAACAAACCTCTGGCCCAGCTGATCCTTCTGCATCACCCAGGGACCAGACTGGGCACAGCTCTGAGAGCTGAAGCAGATCTGCCAGGCTCTGTGCAGGATGGAGTGTGTCAGGAATTACACCCAGACAAATCCTGGCCTCCTGCTGCTGTGGAAGTGCTGAGCTAAACCCCCTCCTCTCCCCCCCTTCCCCAGATCCCCGCAGGCTCGGACACACAAAGTGCACTGGACACACAGGAGCATTAACTACAGCAGTAAACCCTTCCCAGGGCTCTCACAGGAGCTTCACTGGAGGAAGGGGAGGATAGTGGTGTCAAACCACTCTTCTGAGAAGTGCAGGTGGTCCCCTTTCACCCCCAGGAACACCAGCTTCCCTGCTTTGTCCATCTCCTGCAGCCCCAGGCGATCCTGTGGAGAGAAGCACGGGGTTCCACCTCTGCCCTTCAGACCTTCTCCTCGTGGAGGGGAACAGGGAATTTCGTGTGGATCCCACAGGAGCAGAGTTCATTAAACACACACTGAAGGGGATTGCCACACCAGTGGCATTCCCACTGCCAGAAGTGGCTGGAGAGAAGTGCCTTCCCAAACAAACAGCTACTGGCAAGGGGAGGCAATGCCCCAGGAATGGCAGAGATGGTGAGAAGAGAAGGGCAGAGCTGTGGGTTTAGAGCTCCTGAAGGCCTCAGGGACACTAAAGAGTGGAAAGAGCAGAAGTCCCCCAGCACCCACCTCCTTGTACAGCGAGGTCTCCTGCAGCGGGACGGTCTCCTTGGCTTGGCCACTTTTGTAAAACCCAAACCACTGCAGGATAAAAGCAAGGGAACAGCTGCTGAAGGGCTCCCAGGGGCCAAGCAGGCCTTCAGCAGCTTCTGCTGGAGACCATGTGGGGTCAGGCCTGTGTATGTGCCCAGCCTGCTCCCCACCAACCTCCAGTTCTGCCACCCAAGGACAAAAAAGAAACCCCAAAACACCACCCAGAAGCAGCTCCTGCCCTGCCTCCCTCACCTCAGAGACTGGAGGGTCCACCATGGTATCGTTGAGGAATTTCACCATCACAAACTTCTTCAGAGCCATCAGGTTCTTCTTGTAGGTCTCGTTGATGCCCTGGATGGAAGCAACCAGGGAGAGGTCAGGGAAACTGCTCCAACCTGCTCTCCACCTGCCCAGGGAGCCCTGGACTGCACCAGCCTCCAGGGTGGGAATGTGCCAACAATCCCGTGACATTCGGGTTCATCTCCAGGCTGTAGGGAGGGGATGGGCCTTTCCTGCCTTCCCAGGAGAGGGAGAGGCTTCCCCCACTGGAATGTGTGGTCTAAGCACGTGGCATGTCCACACCAAGCCCTCCAGAGGAGCTCAGTGACACAGGAGTCAGTCTAGCAGCAAAAATACTTGGGGGTTCAGGGCAAAAAGTGCTTCACTTGGAACTCCAGCAAAGCTGCTGCCAAGGAGAACCAACGTGAATGGAGTCACTGCTAAAGCTTCTGCTCTCCTGGTCACATCCTCCTCTTCCTCCTCCTCCTCCTTACCCTCTCCTGGTTGATATCAGCCAGGAAGATGCTGTTTTTCCTGTAGTCCTCCTCCTTCAGGGGGTCGTGCCAGTACTCAGCTTGCACCAAGCTGGTGAGGGGAGAAACCAAGGATCAGGCTGGAAAACCCAGAGCTGCTCCCATGGCTCTGGCTGCTGATGGATGTACTCACTGCTCCTGGACAGCCTTTGTGTAGGCTCCCAGATCCAGGGTCTTCCGGATCCAGTCACAGACGTGGGAGCTCTCGCCGGGACAGCGAGGAAAGCCGTACACGCCTGGGGGGGTGGAGAGGTAGGACAGCTCAGGGAGCCAAAATTAAATCCCTTAATCCTTCTGGTGGGGTAAAGAACCACCTCTTACACAGCAGGAGCCAAGAATTATCCAGGGAATCAGGCAGCCTTTAATCCTGCAATCCCATTAGGCAGCCATCCCACCCCAGGAGCTGTGGCAAAGATAATGGGGTGGGGAGTGCTGAACCCTGCCCAGCTCACCTGGGCTGTTCCCAGGATGGCTCCTACAACTCTTCCCCACTATAATAATAATAATAATGGCCAGTCTTCGCGAGCGAAGATCCGGGGAAGGTCTTTACACCTTCCAGCCTACGCATTGGATTTTTTAGGTGAGACACAGTGTGCGCGGAACTGAGCCCACCCTTTAATCCTAAGGTTCATCTGCCGGGGCCAAGCGAGCTTGGACGGTGGCAGCGAGGTCCTTAGGACGTAGGTGGGTTGCCTTTAAGGGCTAACGAGCCCCACCTGCCCGGGAGTGGCCCTGACCGGGAATCGAACCCGGGTCTCCGCGGTGATAGCGCGGCGCCTTTACCACTGGACCACCAGGGGCTCCTTCTTCCCCACTACACTACAAAGAAAACACTGGAACTTCTCAGGGGAGAGTATCTGAAACCCATTTTCAGCCACTCTTAACTGTACACCTCCTAAATTCCATTTCATACCTCCCTTTCCTTGGGGCTTTGGCCTTCCAGACTGGCGACTGTAAAATACCCAGGTGGTTTAGTTTCGCAAAGGCTTTGACCTGTAGAAATTTCTCCTGAAATAACTAATCCCTAGTGCCCCAAGGCATGTGAGAAATCTACTTAGACAATGAGTCATCTACTTACAAAGGTCCCTTTTCACTGCTAGTTAAGCAAGTCCAGAAGATAATGCAGTTGGCTGACGCTAATGACAGGGGCCAAAGCAGATCAACAGCTCCAAGAGCAAAGGGACAGTTCACCTCATAAAGAAAACCACCAGAGTTGAGGGAGAGGCCAAAAAAGGAGCCCCCCCAGCCCCTTCAGGGTGACCAGGAGTTGTGAGAGCTGGGGAGGACACTACCTTGGTGCTGTCCCCCGACGGAGATGAGGTTGAGCATGGGAGGAGAAGGGCACCTCTGGGCCACGGCCCTCCTGTGGGGGAGGAGGAAGAGCTGAGCTCTCATGCCCAGCCCATGAGACCTGCCTCACATGCAGGGCTCACATGCCAAGGCCACAGCTGCCGGTCCTGTGTGGGCTTGGGCACTGGTGTGACGTTTGCAGAGAGAATTTTAACCCTTCCTGGGAGGGAAGGGCCAGAGGCAAACACGCTGCGGGCGCTCCTTCCTCCGGGAAGGAGTCTGGCAGTTTATATCTGCTTAGCACTTCTAAAGGGTTTTAAATCAGAGCCTGAACCCCAGGAGATGTCACTGGACGGGGAGCAGGAGTGTGAACTCACAGGAATTGGCCTCCCTGGGAGAAGCCCATGGCGTTGTAGCCTCCCTTCAGGCGCGGGTCTGCGGCGAGCTGGCTGCAAACCTCCCTCACCTGGTCGTTCACGTTCATGAAGAAGCTGTTCTCCATGTCCTGGGGGATTAGCCAGGTTAAAAACATGTCATTTGTGCACCTTCACAATTGCCTGGTGTTATCTGAAACTCTGCAAGCAGATCCCTAACAGTTGTGGTTTGGAAAAAGGAGCTGAACCTTCACAGTAAGGGAAGTGAAACCCCAGTTTTGAGACTTCACCAGGTCTTTGTTTCCTCCTCTGGCAAAACTGCCTCATGTGGGACAGGGACACTTCCCCAAGCTTCTTCACAACTTGAGTCCCTTCAAATTTTATATGTATACAAATAGAATTAAATTTATAGGTATATAAAATAAAATAATAAACAGTTGTAAATCAACGAGGGTGGCCAGGGATAAAGCTCTGCTTTAGCACAGCATCTATCACATGTATTACCTGGAGTGGTTAGGGTGTGCTAATCACTGGATTTGCATATTAATCCAATTTAGATTAGGGATTTCCTTTTCCCCAGTTCTTTTCTGCAGGTATTAGCTGGACTTTATCGGACTTTATTAACGTGTCAAAGCTGTTTACTCCACTGAGAAGAAAACAATTAGCAGGGAAAGCACAGCATGAATCACTGTGGAATCCTGAGACTGCAGCAACTTCAGACCCACCCACGCGCTCACAGAAACCCCCGTGACACCCCAGTTACCTGTACTAGGTTGCTTCCAATCTTGAGAGACAGAACGTAAATCCCCGGTATCTTTTTCTCCACCAGCTTCTGAACGTAGCCCATGCTCAGCGGGTTGCAGCAGCTGTCTCCTGGGACAGGGAACACCGGGATGCACCGTCACGCCACGCCACGGCGCGGGGCCCTCACCCCCACAGACACACGGCTAGCCCGCGCTGCGAAGGGGCTGGGAGCTGCGAGCCACTCGCGGAGGAGCGACAGCACCTCCCGGTCCCCGCGGACACCGGCGGAGGGGGACACCGGAGAGGAACCGGCGAGCGCCCCCGGGCCTGCTTCAGCCCCCCGCCGCCCCCGCCGCCCCGCCGAGGGTCCCGGCTCACCCATGCCGTGCCAGATGACGAGGGGCGCGGCGGCGGCCGCGGGTCCCGGGCACAGCCCGAGCAGCAGCGACAGCACCGGCACCGCCACCCTGAGCGCCGCCATCTTGGCCGACCACATGACTCGCTCGCGGCACCGGGCGGGGCGGGGCCAGCTCTGGGGGCGGGGCCAGAGCTGGGGGCGGGGTCTGTCCGCGGGTTGGGGGGAAAGCTCCCACGGGGATCGCGGGTTCGAATCCCAGCTCTGCTCCATCCCCCCCGAAATCCCAAATCCTGCCACAGCACGGGGCTGCTCCAGCGCTCGGTGACATTTTTGGTTTGCTTTCCAACAGGGCTGGATGCTCGTCTCCCTCCCTGTGACAGTCTCCTCCCTGCCCCACGCAGGAAACCTTTGCTTTCTGTCCCCAGATACGCAGGGTTCCTGCTGGGAATCACAAATACCTTCGGCCCAGTCGCAGGAATTATTGCTCCCACTGCAGTTGGGCTTCTCATCAGCCGTGTAATTTGGGGCCACAAACCAAAACCACATCCCTGGAAAAAAAAAAAAAAACTAAACAAACACAAATCTGCTCTCAGCAATGGATTTCTTTCTTTACCCCAAGCCAGCCCCCTCTCCCAAAGAGCGCATGGGATGTAGCACCTGGCAAAACAGAGCTCGGCACTATCTTGGGGACACAGGGATGACTCAGAAAGCAGGAAGAGATCCACATGGGACCCATCTGGGTGTGCTTGGAGATGGGGAGAGGGTCGAGGGAGTGGAATGAGGGGGAAGCTCCGTGCCAGGCAGGAAAGCTTCCTGAATTCAGCACAGCACGTAATGTTTCCAAAAATGCCAAGGCAGGAAATGCTTCTCCAACAGGACGGATCTGGAAATTCTTCCCTGCAAGGATGGTGGGTGCTGGCACAGGTTGGACTGTGGCTGGAGGTGTCCAAGGCCAGGTTGGACAGGGCCTGGAGCAATCTGGGCTAGTGGAAGGTGTCCCTGCCCATGGCAGGGGGTGGGACTGAATGGGCTTTAAGGTCCCTTCCAACACAAACCATTCCATGATTCCCGGATTCCACATGTCTGGAGTTGAGCAAAGCCCTCCTGCTGTTGGCAGGAGTTACAAGCAGAGGGTGGAGATGAGTCAGTGCACTACAAGGAGGTGAAGGGAAGGCTGACACCATCATGCTCTATTTTTGCCCCCCAGGGTCTCCACAGGGGCTGCAGGATCCAAACAGGATCCATGGATTGCTGGGAAGCTGGATGCCAGCCAAGCCTGCAGCTATTTCCAGCAAAGCTGTTCTGAGACGAAGGAAATCGATAATGAAGCACTAATGTTAGTTTTTAACTAGAGGCTTTTCACACCCTCTGCACACAGACTCCCCAACACTTTTTTTTCCTCTTCTTAATGAGACAAGCTGGTTATTCATTTATCCTTCATCCCCTCTTGGAAGCAACTGGGGCAAAAAATAATTGATGGCATTGCAAAGCCCAGCCTGGCAGCCCCAGGGAGGCAGGGAAGGGGATGAATAGGGACAGCCTTGGGCTGGGGTCTCACTGAAGGCATTTTCAGCTCAGGATGTGGCCACTGAAGAGAAGTTTGGACTCCAAAAGGGGTGTGAATTTGGCCTGTCCCCTCCCAGCTGACTGCAGCAGGGAGTGGGCTGTGATCCTCCCTTGCTCCAGACTGAGCCAAAACGGTGCAAAAAGAGGATCCAGATCCCAGGCACAGCCCCAAAACCCACCAACACTTCACTGAAAGAGTGAAGTGAAACTGAACTGAGCTCTGATGAGTTACACTCGCTGCTACTTGGGAGTGGAGAAGCTCCAACATCGAGTCCAAATCCTGGACCTGCATAGAACACCCCAAGAATTGGGCATCAATTGTTTGGTGGGTTTTTTTCCTTTTTTCTTTCCCTTGTATTATTATTATTATTGTTGTTGTCAGGATCAAGTCCAATTCTTAGCCCTACAGAGGATACCCCAGGAACTGTGTTCCCTTTCCTTTCGTTGTTGTTGTTGTTATCATTATTATAATATTATTGTTATTGTTACTATTATAATTATTATTACTATGATAATTATTATAATAATAATTATTATTGACACCATTATTATTATAATAATCATTATTATAATTATTGTTATTGTCGTTATTATTGTGATATTATTATTGTTACTCTTGTTGTTATTGTTGTTGTTACCATCATTATCATCCATTATTATTGCCCTTTGTTTCCAATCATCGGCAATAATCAATATTGGGGTTGCCATGGCAACCGCTCCCGCCGCCCTCCGCCCGCCAGGGGGCGCCGCCGCCGGCGCGCCCTCCCACAACCCCCCGCGGCGGCGGTGGGCGCGCCTCTTCCCCGCCTCCATCATGGCGGTGAGTGGCGGCGCCGCGGGCCCGGCCCGGCTCCATCCATCTCCATCCGCCTCCATCCGCCCGCGCCGCGGCTCGCCCGGCCACGGCAGGAGCGCGGCGGGCCGGCGGGACACCCGCGGGGCCGGGATGGGCGGGCAGCGCTCGGTGTGGCGCCCGGGAGGGAGCGGCTGCCGTGAGAGGCCGCGGCCCGCCCGCTGCCGGGGAAGGGGCGGCGGCGGGGCCGCGGTGTCCGCCCGCGGGAGCCCTTCCCCCGGCCACCCCCGCTCACCGCCCGTGTGGTCTCTCCGCAGCAAGACCAGGGTGAGAAGGAGAACCCGATGCGGGAGCTGCGGATCCGCAAACTCTGCCTCAACATCTGCGTCGGGGAGAGCGGGGACCGGCTGACCCGCGCCGCCAAAGTGCTGGAGCAGCTCACGGGCCAGACCCCCGTGTTCTCCAAAGGTGAGGGGACCGGCGGTTTGTTGGTTTTCCGGCCTCTTCCTGGTTGTTCCTCTTGTTTTGCTCCTTCTCCTGGGCGTGCGGAGGGTGCAGGGGCAGCGCGGCTCCCGGGAAGGGGCTCCGGTGTGGGAAGGGTCGCTCTGATGCGGGTCCTGCTGGAGAACGGAGGGTCTTAAACAATCAAGGGCTGGCGGGTGTGTTGTGTCAGGTCAGTTCTGCCTCCAGACTCTGCTGCTGCTCTGCCAACATCCCCAAAGAGAGTCTGCCTTGGCTCTTTTTAATTGCCTTTAATTTCTTTGGTGGCACGGAGCTCTGAATCCCCACGGTGGGAATTCTCTGGCCGTTCCCTGAGTGCGGTTGTTGCTGCCCACAGCGCGGTACACGGTGAGGTCCTTTGGGATCAGGAGGAACGAGAAGATCGCCGTTCACTGCACGGTGCGCGGGGCCAAGGCAGAGGAGATCCTGGAGAAGGGGTTGAAGGTGAGAATTTGGGCTGGATTCTTTTCCTTGTGGAAGAACAAAACCTCCCTGTTCCGAGTGAAGAGGGGCGTGCTCCGAAATGTTGCTCCTGATCTGGATACAATTCAGTCATGGATACAGTCTGTTATGTTCACACTTTCTGTGGGTGCTGATTTATCCTTATTTGTGAGCTCATTTTGGAGGGGATTTGTCTGTGCTGCTGTGATTTATGAGCAGCCTTGGGGAGGAAGTTCTCAGGGATGAAGATGTAGCAGCATGTGAGCGGGTTGGGGGGTCTGGTAGCAGCTGGCAGAACATGTTACTTGTTACTCCCAGTCAGTAACAAAACAGTGACCAAACAACCAACGTTTCAGGTGCGAGAATACGAGCTGAGGAAAAACAACTTCTCAGACACCGGGAACTTTGGCTTTGGAATCCAGGAACACATCGACCTGGGCATCAAATACGATCCCAGTATCGGTATCTACGGCCTGGACTTCTACGTGGTGAGTGTTCCCTGCTTCCCTGCAGCTCTGGAAGGATGTAAAATCCCTGGTTTTATGGGAAGTCTCACAAAGGCATCTTCAGAAGCAAATAGCGTTGGGCTGGGTTTGGGGAGGGAAGGAGCAGCAGCGCATCGAGGCACCACTGGTGTGAAAATTCCAGGCTCCCCTCCTAAGAAAGAGGTTTAGTTGAAGAAAATCAATAAATGGCAGGGTTGAAGCAGTGCTGTTGGCCTCCTCCTGCAGGTGCTGGGCAGGCCAGGCTTCAGCATCGCTGACAAGAAACGCAGGACTGGCAACATCGGGGCCAAGCACAGAATTGGGAAGGAGGAAGCCATGCGCTGGTTTCAGCAGAAGGTAAAGGCCCTCTTGATTCTTCTATCCCAAGGATTTCCAAGCAAGGATCAGCAAAATGTTTTATGGAAGGGCTGCAGCAAGTTGCTGAGCAGGGGAGGATCTTGATGAGTGCTTAAATCAGAGATTTTTACTGCCTCAGAGCAGTAGAAGCTGCATTTGAGCACGAGGTGCTTTTCTATTTGTGTGTGTGCTGAAGTGAAAGAGCAGCTCTTGCAGGAGAGCTGGGAAGAGGTATCAGCTCTTGTGGAAAAGGCTCCCACAGGTTTTGGAGGTGTTACATGTACATGATGGGGCAGGGTTGGGATTTGTCGGTCTGACACTGCTCCCAGCTCAGCTGCCAGGCTTGGAGGATGGAGCGATCCAAATAAAAAACAAGTCCTTGGGGCCACGTAATGAATAATTGGATCATGAATGGGAGCTGATGGAAGGTTGGAAGTCTCAGGGGTGGGGACTGCTGATAGTTTTTCAGAAGTGGAAAGGAGGGATGGATGGTCTGTCTTGAGGCTCTTTGCTCTGCCTGGCCCTGCACGGGTCATACCCTGCACAGGGAGGGCTCCATCCTGCTCCTGCTGAATCCCTTTTCCTTCCTCCTGCCTGGTTTTGCTTCCTGTGATCTCTCACTTGGTTCTTTCTTCTTCTTTCCTCACAGTATGATGGCATCATCCTTCCTGGTAAATGAGCAGTTCCTGTTACCAAAAAAAAGTAAATAAAATTTTCTAACCCCTTCCTTGTGTTGTGAATTTTAAGGGGGAAGGGGGGGGGCTCCTCCAGACCTGGGAATGTGGGGACACTCACACTCAAAAGGCAGGAGAACAACCTGGGCTGATAAAGAGCTGCTCTTGAGGAGCAGGGGTTGGATTTACGTGGTGCAGCCTCCACTGTCCCAACTGCAGGGGTGACTCAGAAACCTCAGGGATTCGGGAACGACGTCCCAGGCACTTGAGACATCCCTGGAATTGTGTCCCACGGGGCTACTCCAGTTTACAGCACTGAGAGCTCGTCTGTCACGGTGTCATATCCTGGAGTGGGTGTCACTCCTGGAAGTGGGACACAAACGCTGCTCTGTCCTGTGTTTGGATGTGAAGTGGTTTCTGGCACCAGCTCAGCACTGGGAGAAGGAACTGGGATTTACCCTTTCAGAGCAGCAACACTTGGATGTTTCCAAACACACAGTATGGTCAGACTAGCCATTCCTTGGGAAACTTCGGGATTCAGCTTTTCAGCTGGATTTGGAAGTGAAAACATGGGTTAAATGTTGAAGTTTCATGGGAAAAAAATATTTTTTCCAGTTTTTCTCTCCAGATCCCTCAGACCTGCATCTCCCTGAGATTCAGCACTGCAAGAGCATCCTTGCTGCCACCAATCCCAAGGAGAAGCAGGACCTACTCTGGGTGACACTGTGTCTTCAGAAAGTTATGTCAGGATTATTTTCTTTAACCAGACAGAGTCCTTCTCCTTCGCCTGCTGCTGCTGCCAGCCCTGGGTTCAGTCAGAGTGTGAGTCACAGCAAACTCCAAGCCAACCTGTAAAACTGCTTGGACACTGCAGCTCTAGGCACTACTTCGCTGCAGCCCCATTTCAGAAAGCACCAAAGTCTTTCCCCGTGACGTTATTTCCATTATTCAGCAGTTCCTGCGCCCCACACAAATCTCTGCAGATCTTGCCAGGTGAGACCTGGCTCCTCATGACTCACCAAAGGCTGGGGCTGCTCTTACCTTGCTCTCAGACTGGTTAGTCCAGGGTGGAAGCATCAGCTTTTGGCAGGTTGAGGCACAGAGACCCTCAACTTTCCCCACCCAACGTTCTCCTCCCCACCCCAGCCACCTGACTGCTCATATCACTTCTGCATTTACAGCAGGCTTTGGAACCGCATGAGAAGTGGTTGAGGGCACCTGGGAAAGACAAGGAGCTGCTGGAGAGGGTCCAGTGGAGGCCACAAAGATGATTAAAGGATAAAGATGATTGGAGCATCTCTGTGAGGAGGAGAGACTGTGGGGGCTGGGCCTGGTCAGTCTGGAGAAGGGAAGGCTGAGAGGGAATCCATCAATCCATACAAATATCTCCAAGGGCTGTCAGAGGATGGTGCCAGACTCTTTTCAAGTGACAGGACACGGAGCAATGGACATAAACTAAAACACAACAAGTTCCACCTCAACAAGAGGCAGAACTAGAACAGCTGCCCAGGGAGGGCATGGAGTCCCCCTCTCTGGAGACATTCCAAACCCACCTGGATGCGTCCCTGTGTCACTGGATGACTACCAGGGGTCCCTTCCAACCCCAATCCCTCTTTAATTCCGTGGAAGCCCGTCCCGATCCCGGCGGGCCCCCTCAGCTCCCTCAGGGGGCTCCATGGCGGCCGCGCCCCCCTCACAGCCCCGCCCTGCCCTCACTCAAGATGGCGCCGCCCGGCTTCTCCGCCAGGCCCCAACATGGCGGCGCCGAACCCTGCCCTCACCCTGAATGGCCGAGGCTTCGCCGCGCCCCTTCCCCTTCCTGCCCGCAGCCAAGATGGCGGCGGCGGCGGCGGTGCCGCTCCGTGTGCGCGGCGGGCGCTGAAGCCGCTTCCGCCGCCCGGCCCGGCCAGCACCAAACATGGCGGAGTCGGTGCTGGAAGTGGTGGGCCGGCTGCAGGCGCGGCTGGCGGGCAGCGCCGAGCCCAAGAAGGTGACGGCGGCTCCTCCGGCCCGCCCCGGGTGTGGGGAGGGGGGGGTGTCCGGCGGCGGGGACGGGGAGCGGGAGGGCGCGGGGCGCGGCGTGGGGCCTGCCCGCCGCCGCCGGGTCCCCCTCCGCGGAGTGCCGTGCCCGGCCGCGGGTCGAGGGGTGCGGGGTTGTCCGCGGTGGGATCCCCTGCTCTGTCAGCAGCCCCCGCGGGCTGCGGTCCCTTTCGGGGTGCCCCCGTGGCAGCGGCGGGCAGGGGTCCCGTGTGGGGGTCCTGCGTGGCACGGGTGGGGTACGGGCAGGGTCCCTTTTTGGGGTCCCCCTGTGGCACTGGTGGGCAGGGATCCCTTTTGGGGTCCCCCTGTAGCAGCGGCGGGCAGGGGTCCCTCGTGGGATCCCCCCGCCACAGTATCGGGCGAGGATCCCTTTTGGGGTCTCTTTTGGGGTCCCGCGTGGGGTTCCCCGTGGTAGTGACGGGCAGGGGGCCCTTCTGGGGTCCGTGCTGGCAGGGTTGGGGCGCGGCTGGGCAGGGGTCCCTTGTGAGGTCCCCCCCCCCGTGGCAGTGACACCCCCATTTTTGGGGGTCCCCGCTGGCAGCGTTGGGGCGCGGTTGGGCATCGGGAGAACTCGCCGGAAGAGTCTTTCCCTGGTGACGTGTTCCCCGTGGAGGAGCCGCGGTGCCCGAGCGGGGGCTGGAGGGGACGGGGCTGGAGGGGGAGGGACACGGCGTGGGGGACAGGACCCCCTGGCACCGCCGCGGGGGTGGGTCGGGGCGAGTGGATCGCTCCCTGCGTGGGACTTGCTTGGCTCTTCTCACCCGCTACCAGAATGTGCTGCCCGCAGCAGCTGCCGTGGGGCGGCCGCCCTGCCCGCCCTGCCCCGACCTGCCCCGGCTCGGCGTGCTCGGTGACACTGGGCTGCCGACAGCCACCCCCCATTGCCGGCACAAACCGGCCTCCCGGGCTGCTTTTCCAAGGGAAATTTGGGAGTTACGGGGAATCCCGGGCGTGCTGTTATGCCGCTGTTATCCCGCTGTGATGCCGATGTCCAGGATGTCCCGTTTTAAAGGGGGGAGCATCAGCTGTGGCTGCTCGCAGGTGTTTGGTTCGTGTTTTGTGTAGTTGGGGTGAAAGAGGAGGCAGGGAGGGCTGTGCAGGTGCCCTGTGCTCGGCTGGCTTTGTTTAACTGAGGCAAACACCTGCACAACCTCTCTTTCCAAGATCTCTCTCCCGCTGGCCAGGAAGAGGAGTGGATGGTCAAGTGCTGACCCTTTGAAACGGGAGCTCCTGCACCAGCTCCAGCCTCGCTGGGGGTGATGTGATAGGATCTGGTTACTCCTCTCAGCCTGTCAGCCAGGACCAGGGCAGGGTTTAATTGGTGGAGCCCCAAATGGAGCTGAGGGGCTGCCAGGGAGCCGATTCCAGGGGGTGTGGGCTCCGTGGTGCCAAGAACATGGGTGAGACTTCAAATACCGCACAGACAATTAGTGCTCCTGTTCCCTGACCCTTGTGCCAGCCTGGGGCAACAAGTGCTTGTGTGTGTTTCTGGGGCGCTGCAGGACTTGGGGCAGTGTTTGCACAGCCTGACTCTTTCTCCAGTGACCTCGTGGAGTAAAAGTGGTTTCTTGCTCTGTTGATCCTGTGCAGTTTTGTAAGGGCGGGCAGAGCAAGGTGGTGACACCAAAAACCTTTTTCCCTTCCCCAGCAGAAAGGCCCTTTCATCTGGACTCTTGATTTCTGGTACCTTTCCAGCTATATCCTTGAAAGCATCAGTGTTTTAAAGCTTGAATTTAGTGGCCATTGCATTTCCTTGATGGATTTTCTGAGGATCTTCCTCTGCCAGAAAGTTTGCCCTGTCAGCAGGACCGATCCACGGCATCCCTGGGTGCTGCCCACACCTTACACCGCTTCCAGTCTTCACTTCTCTTGCCTTGTCCTTCGAAAATGCCATATCAGGAACGTGAAAGAACAATATTTGCCCAGAAAAGTGTTCAGCTCGTTGCCTTGCTGAAAGGTTTTAAGTATTATTATTGGTTTTAGGTGAAAAATTGGCACAGAACGGCGTGAGGGAAATCTTGCACGGTGCTGTAATGGTTTGGAAAGAGTCTTTTTTTTCCCAGCAGAGAAGGTACAAACTCTGCTGCAGGACTGAGGGAAGAAAGAGGAGAAGGAAAACATGAATAAGAGCATCTTGACAGAGAGGAGGCAGCCAGGCTGTGCTGGAGTAATTTGATATTAATCTGTGTTTTTAGTGTCGTAACGGTCTGGGTGAGTTTTAGAATAAGAAAACAATCCACCCATGTTCAACACAACCTGATTGGAGCTGGAACCAAGGGAAGTTTTCATGGGCCGTGTCCTGTGGCTGATTGACTGGAACTCTGGTCTGCACTGGGGTGTTTTGGAAGAGCTTTGCTGTGTGTGGTTCATCTGGTGCCTCCCAAGATGCGGGCCTGGTGGTCTCTGTCCACTACCTGGTTGCCTCCATCAGCTCACTTCCGTGGGAAATACAGATTAGCACAAGTTTTTAGGGCTCAGTGCTTTGAAATTGTCTCACACTGACTTGTGTCCCACAGGGGTTGACTGAAGTGGGTGTGGAATAGCCCAGCTCCCTGTGAGACGTGTTCTGGATCCAATGTTTGGGTGCCCTGGTCTCAGACCACACTGAGAACAGCATTCCCATTGAGAACAGCTCTTTCCTTCCTGGAACTCAGCCCTGAAGGCAACAAATAACTAAAGAGCTCTGGGAAGTGCTGCAGTGGGGTGTAGCTAGAAAATAATTGGGAGGCTTTACGGATACCAGAACAAGTCCTCCCTGGGCTCTTATTCTCATAGTGGGATTTTGTAAGCTCTGAAACAACCTCTCTAGGAAGTTAATCAGCTTAAAGGGATGCTGTTGTCTTAACAGTGTCCTGTTTGACTTTTTCTATCTTGTAGAGAACCCATCCTTCTTCCCCTTCCAGTGGACCTTTGTGCACAATAATCCAAACTCCTTTATTATCACTGCCAGGAGGATCTTGGCCTTCCTAGAGGGATCCTGACTCATGCACTGTGGCAGGCCTTGCCTGTCTGGGGGAAGGCAGCAGAGCTGGGCTGCGTCTCTGCTGTCTCTGGTTTGGTGGCTTCAGTTGCACTTGTTGAGCAGCAGTGCTGGCAAGGTAACAGAGCAGTTACTCTTGGTATCACTGTTTCAGTCTTCTAAAACAAGAAAACCGAAACCTTGTGTCACGGTTATTAAGCCCTAAATATAAAGGAGTTGGTTTCTAGTGAACAGGAACTGTCCTGCTTTTGCTTCAGCCAGGTGGACCCTTCTCTCGGTGTCGAGGAGGGGTTGCTCTCTCGAGGTTCCAAGAACTCATTTCCTTCAAAAAGGAGACTTGTGAAGCTCCCTGCCCCTCGCATGGTGGACGTGGGGGTGACTGGAATAGCTTAGGCTGACAGTGCTGATTTGAGCACGAGCACAGTGTTTTAAAGAGAAGATCTGGCTCAGGGGCAGCCCTTTGTATGGCATATAGCATAGGAGTGCTGAGCACAGCCTGGGCTGTATAGGGGCTATAATAATGGGAATGCTGATGAGGCTGGACTGTGGCTATAGCTGAGCTGTGGGAAATAATGTGAGGGGCAACAGTGCTGTCAGATGTGCTCCACCATGTGCTGTAGCTACAGAGCCAACAGGCGTGGGTGAGGCCATGTCCCAAACCACCTGGCTGGCAGAGGTACAAGCACATCCCATTCACCTCGAATCCCACAATCACTAGGGTTGGAAAAGACCTTCATCGAGTCTGACCTGTGACCGATCCCACTGCCTCTTGTCAGGCTCCTGCAGCTCCTTGCTGGGGTGCACATTGGAGCCCTGGTCCCATGGAGTGGCTGTAGGTGCTGACAGGGCCTCGCTTGGGGTGTGTGGAGGAAACACTCACCTGGTGTTCGGTGAAGGGAAGAGAAACGAGTGGGATGGGAGGCAGTGGCTGTGGAAGGGATCAGATGCCTTTTTAGCACCTGAGAGGAGGGAGACTGTCAGCAGCACTGGCCCAGGGGAGGGTCAGCAGAGCAGACACAGGCTCCAGAAATCTCCCTTACCCTTTTTTTGTGTGTTTGTTCCCACCCCTCTTACCAAGGGATCCTATTCCAGCCCCACCTTCCAGTTCCCCTCTTCCTCTGGCTGTGGGTCTGTCCCCGATGCTTTAAGCCAGATTTAAGTTGCAGGGCCCGTGTGAGGAAAACATTAATATTCAATTGCGTTCTAAGACTCAGATGTGTTCTCTTAGGCAAAGAGATGATAATTTCTTTACAGTTCTCAGCTTCTCAGGAGCTCTTTTGGAGCGAGACAGCAGCTGGCAGCCACTTGGATCTTCCTAACAAGCTCTCAGGCAGTGCAGAATTTTCCTCCTCCCTAATCCCGGCCTGTGGTTCCGTGTGACAACTCTGAACGCTTTTCCTCTTGTCTCCACAGCTGCTGAAAAGTCTGAAGAGGCTCTCAGAGTTGCCCATCACAGTTGACATTCTCGTGGTAAGAGCTGTGAAATCTCTCACCCTTTCACGGTGTCTGTCGAGTCACAGGATGAGTGTTTTCCACGGAAACGCCGCTCTCCCTGGAACGGGGGGTGTTTCCTTGGCCACCTGCTCCTGCCTGGTGTCATTGTGTGATTGTGATAAGGTTCTGGAAGTGCCAGGCACGGGGAAGGAGCGTGTCAGAGCAGGTGGGAAGCCGTGGAGGATGGTCTGTCATCCTCAGTTCTTCCAAAAGCTTTAACACTTGACTGGGATACGAGAGCCGGAGTGGATCCCAGTGATAAATCAGCATGAAATTAAGAAGTGCTAATCCTTAAAATTATTGGTGGCTTCTGTCCTCAAATTTATCAGCTGCTGTAGCAAATACTAGCTCGGATTATTAGCACAAATAATTAGACTCAGGTAGGATTAAGTCTCCGATTTACATGCAGTAAATGACGTAATGTCAGCAGGAAACGTGGAAAACGGGATATCTTTGCTGGTTAGATCAAGGAATTTTATCCCTACCCTGCAGCAGTAGGTGGTGTGTTGACTTCACTGACTCCGTAGGAACTTTAGCAGGGGTGAGAATGCCTGTTTTGCTAAGATGGATTCATGTTCTTGGCTCTCCCATGAAGGAGACGGGTGTTGGGAAGACCGTGAACAGCCTTCGGAAGCACGAGCTGGTGGGAGACTTTGCCAAGGACCTCGTGGCCAGGTGGAAGAAGCTGGTGCCGGTGGCCCAAGAGGCAGAGCGGTGAGTGAACCTCATGGATGAGCTTTGGGATGTCTTTGCAGGGGACATCATAAACCTCTCTGGCCGAGGAAGCCAAGTGAAGGCTCTGGAAAAGCTCGTAACACAAATGTCTGACTCTGCCTGAGGGGGTTTTTTTGCCTGGTTTTGGCACAAACTTCCTGCTTTTGCTGGTTGTGGAGCGTTGGGTGCTGATGGCTGCAGTTTTGTGTGGAAGTAGGGGCCCAGTTTTCAAGAATTTGATGAAGAGATTAACAGGAGATGCCAGGAGAGTGCCTTAAATAAAACCAAGAGCTGCAATCTGCTTGTTTCCCATTTTATGCTGCAAAAGACAGGAAGTTCTGGGCCCAAGGAAAGGAAGTGGCCTGCTTTGAAAGAAGGCTTTTATGAGCCAAAATACTGTGGAAATGGGAGTTAGTGACAGCAGACATTGCAGTACCAGAGCTGTGTTGAGCCCAGCAATGAGATCAAATAGATTTGAGTGATAAAGACCCAGTTTTTCATGGGAATTTAAATGACTGGGATTCCCATGTGCTTCACTGGGAACTTGGGGACATTCCCATAGGCACCACACAGCCAGGGAGAAGGTACTGTACACATCTGTCTCTAGTTCTGATAAAAGTGCTTAATCAATTCTTGCACTAGAAATGCAGTTTTTAAATCCCTGAATGTTGCCAGACCTGAGAAAATCAGTTCTTACCACAAAACTACCAAACACAGCCTTAGCCTTCTGTAGGAGATGTTCCAGTCCACATGGTCCATAGGGATTGGCTCTTTTCAGTCACAGTGGGACATTTTAACCTGTTCAGTTTTCTTCTCCCCTCAGGAATAACCTGGACTCCGAAGACCGTGACTACGAGAGGAGCAGCTCAAGCAGAAGACATCAGGAGTCCTCCCTCAGAGAGGATGAGGAGCCTGACCAGGATTACTCAGAGCCCTTCCAGCCATCTTGCAGCCAATCCTACAGCCCAGACCATAGGGAAAAGAAGTCCAAAAGGTATCCCAGGCCTGAGAGAGCCCACGAGACTTACGGCTATAGCAGCCACCAGGGGAAGGGTTGGGGCAGATCCTCCCCGGTGCTCTCTTCAGATCAGGAGTACTCGGACTGTGGACAAGCTGTGTCACCTGAGCCGAGTGAGAGCCCTCAGGATATGGACACAGACCCTTACGCCTCCGAGGAGCAGGAAGAACCCCCGGTATTCCACCGGAAAGCCAGCAAAGGCCACAGCTTCCAGGAGAAGCTCGTGGGAGGCCGCAACTCCGGCGACGTCTGTGACAAAGGGAACACGAGTCGAAGCAAAGAGCACAAATCTCACAAGAAGCAGCGCCTCGATGGCAGAGGGGACGAGAGGACCTCTGCCTTCAGCCCAGAAAGATTGCACAAGACCTCCTTTAAGGAGCAGCTCCGAGAATCCCCCGCGGCAGCGGCCGGCAAGGAGAAGCAGAGGACGTCGGACGGCACCAAGAAGGAGAAGAGCCGAGAAAGCAGCACCTCCAAAAAGGAGAAGCTGCACACGCTGCCGCCCTTGGAGGAGTCTCTGGACAACCACGTGAAGAAGCAAAAGCATCGGGACTCTGAAAAGGGCAAACTGGAAAAGTCCAAGCTGAGCCTGGAGACCCCCAACGCGGAGCGGGAGAAGCGGAAAGCTGAGGCCGACTCCTCGAACAGGGTCAAGGAAAAGGGGGGTTCCGGGAGCTTAAAATCCTCGGAGGGGAAGCGCAAAATGCCCGACGTGGACAAAAAATCAGCGGGTTTCTCCTCCAATTCTGGGGAGGGGGAAGCGGAGGATGAGTTTGAACAGCCCACGATGTCCTTCGAGTCGTATCTCAGCTACGACCAGCCCCAGAAAAAGAAAAAGAAAGTGGTCAAAGCCCCGGCTGGCTCAGCTGGGGAGAAGGACCGAGGGCACAGCAAACAGAACGGATCCAAAGCCAGCACCAACAGCTCGAGCTCGAGTCAGAAAAGTCCCAGCCACAAGAGAACAAGTGAGAAAAAGGCAGAGAAGAAACCCCCAGAGCCTCCTAAACCAAAGAGGGTAAGGTTTGGAAGGATGTGACAGTGAGCAAAGAAGGTGGGATCAGCTGCTCTGGGTCCTCTGCCCTCTGGGGCTTGTTAGTTTTCACCTTGGAAAAGTGGGTGAAGACGAGGGGGGAAGAAAGAAATGCAGTGGGTGTTTTTAATGCTTATTATTTTATGTTTGGTATAAAAATGAGGAGAGCAAAAGAGAAAACCTTCAGCTAAATACTCATATGGAAGAGTATTGGACAATGATGCACTTGTTAAACAGGCAGAGTGTCTTTAGAAGTGAGTCAGCTTAAAATCCAGCCCAGTGTTCAGTGCATCTCCTGCTAACAAGGTTCCCATGTCTCCCCTCTCAAGTATTTACACTCTAAAATGAGTCTTTTTTTATCTGTATTGGTACTACAGTTTTGTTAATTAAATCTCTTGGTGTCCAGAAATGGGAGAACTGGTGTTACAATGCAGCTTATTCCAGAAGACAAACCTTCTTTTGTGAAAGCCTGGAAAATGAGCAGTGTTTCTGTTCATATTCACTGTCACATGAGTGCCAGGGCTTGGTGTATAAAGAGGGGCTAACATGTAAAATCTTTACTGTTTCATCCTTTCACTGAACTTTGAAGCACTTGGCTCTTCAAAAAGTGGTTTTTATAATGCTAACAGCATTTAAAATTCTGCTGTGCCATTCATTCTAAAAAGTGCCTCATGTCAAAGTTGTGAGTTTCCCTCAGTTTGTGACAATCCTTTCTCTACCACTGCAGAGTTTTTTTGCAGGAGGAGAAGAGGCAGAACAGGTAAATGAGTGAGATCAAGGATGTGTTTCTGCTTGTCCTGGGTAGGTTAAAGATGTGGATGGCTCTTACTGGAGGAAACTGAGTGATTCAGATCCCAAATTTTGGCTTCTTCCTATTGACAGCCTAGACACAGCCACCCTCTGAGACTATTTCCTTGTGAGAACTGGTCAGCATTGAGTGGTTTATTCAAAACATACAAAAGACTGCAGTTCAGTGCTGTTTGTACACTGGTGAGATGTCACATCCTCCTGTATTCCTGTCTCACTTGCATGTCCATCCTCTCTTTCCAGATAATCTTAGATGTGGTACCAACATTACCAGACATCCCATTGCCCCCGATCCAGGCCAACTATCGTCCTCTTCCCTCCATCGAGTCCATTACCTGCTCCCAGACAAAAAGAAAAGGTATGTTGGGCAGGAAAATATGTTTGGAACGAGCCAGTTTGTGGGAGAGAGCAGGAGTGGATGCTGGCTGAGTCCAAGTCTTTCTGTTGGGCTCTGCCCAGGGTCCAGGTTTCAGAGAAAAGCAGCTGAAAATCCTTTGCTGACCCTTCTTTGGGCTTTGGGCTTTCCCTGCCTGAGCGAGGCTGCAGATCTCTTGGAAAAGGCTTTGCCCTTGGGGTTGCTTCTGGATTAATCCAGTTTGTGTCTCTGTGGTGTTCACCTGGGTGGGCTCTTCATTTCCCTGCTCCCTTCTCACTCCAAGTCCTCCCCCTCACAGCAGTGTCCTCGCCGGTTGAGGAGAGCGAAGCCGGTTTCACGGGCCGACGGTTAAACTCAAAAATGCAGGTGTACTCGGGCTCCAAAACTGCCTACCTCCCAAAGATGATGTCCCTGTACCAGCAGTGCATCAGGGTCCTCAGCAACAACATCGACTGTGAGTACCTTTCCGCAGTTATGCTGAAATTTTGGCTGCTTGTTTGTATAAATCCCGGCAGCGCCTGGACTGGAGTGTGGGAACAACGGACCCTTCTCACAAATATGGGACAGATTTCCCTGAAAGCTCAGGTGCTGCAGGGATCAGCACCCAGAATGCTTTCAGGCAGTGCTAAAGCACTGAAAACTGTGCAAACAGAGCCTGCACAGGCACTTCTTAACCTGGAGGTACCGGTGCCTCAGGTCCCTTTTCCCTTCCCCTCGTACAGTCCTGCAGTTTTTCCCATTGCATTTGAAGGTGCCAAACCCTTTCCTCGGCAAGGAAGGAGCAGGATAAATAATGCTCTGTGCATCTTGCTTCTCTCTAGCAATCTATGAAGTGGGTGGTGTCCCTTTCTCCGTGCTGGAGCCGGTGTTGGAGAGATGCACCCCGGAGCAGCTGTATCGCATCGAGGAATGTAATCATGTGAGTGCCTTGGCTGGGGAGGGATGTGGCATGGAACAGTCATGTTCTGTCCTCATCTGCAGAATAGCAGAGAACAAAGCTTTTTTTATAACAAGAGTTGGCTTTTGATGGCCCCGGGTTCCTGGATTTGCCATCTTGCCCCCCTCTTGCCGCAGTTCCCTCTGCGGAATTCCAGCGACGCCGGTGCCGGGGGGAGAGGGGAGTGGAGCTGTGCCCAGAGGGATGCCAGCCACGTGTGGGTTTGTTTCAGGTGCTCATTGAGGACACGGATCAGCTGTGGCACAATCACTGCCTCAGAGATTTCAAGAACGAGAAGCCAGAGGAGTTCGAGTCGTGGCGGGAGATGTACCTGCGGCTGCACGACGCGCGCGAGCAGCGGCTGCTCATGCTGGCGCGGAACATCGGCTCGGCCCACGCCAACAAACCCAAAGGTGGGGCTGAGAAAACGTGTTTTGGGATGACTGGCTTAAAACTAGTCCAGTTTAGGAGCTGCATAGCTCTGTGTTCTTTGTGTGGTGGCCTCTGCTTCGTGGTTTGGCAGCCTCTGGCTCTCGTCCGTAGCGGCGCTGATGCGCAGCGATCTTTGGATATTTTACAGCAGGAATTCTTAGGGTTGAATAAGCATCTCCTCTTCCAGAGTGGCTTCTCCATGTTGAGATTGAAGAAAACCAGAGTGGGGAGAAGCATTCCTGCTCTTCTGGTGAACGTAATGAGAACTCCTGAGCTGATCAGTCTGATTTCTCACAGCCCATGCTGTGACTGCAGGAGGTTCAGGCCTTAGGGAGGAAACCTGTCACCAGAGCTTTGGAGTGGATGGACTAGGGAGAGGTGGATGAACTTGGAGACAAGCACTGAGGAGCCTCCTTTATAGTAAGCTGGATCTAAGTGGTGTTTCCCCTCTGGCCTCTTGCAGGGAGAGTGGCCAAAATGGCATTTGTGAACTCTGCAGCGAAGCCCCCTCGGGACGTACGAAGGAGACAGGAGAAGTTTGGAACTGGAGGGCCTCTTCTGCCAGAGAAGACCAAGTGAGTGTTTCTCAGTGGCACTTGCTGCTCAGTGCCTCCTGCCAGCTTCCCCCTGAAGCTCTGCATCCGGCAGGAAAGGATACTGAGTGTCTGGGAGCAACTTTTGCAGTGAAACTTGTAACCCTGCTGGGCTGTTTCTCGCTGGGAAGCACAGAGATGGTGCCACGTGGTATCAGCCGTGGTGCTGTTGGCAGACGTGGCTTGTGTCTGTAGAATTGCATCAAACCACGGTGAATCTTTACTGAAATGCCTGTCCCCTGTGTGTTTCAGAATCAAACCTGTCCTGTACACATCCAGCAAAGGCCACGCTCGAGCGGGTGATGAGCAGTCCTACGATGGGCCCAGCACCAGCAGTGCCCACTCTGTCCCATCTTCAGGGAGCACCTTCTCCTCCTTCGACCCCAGGAAACCCCCAGTGAAGAGTAAGTACAACCTGCAGAACATCCCTGTGGCCTCTTTCTGCTCCTCCTTCACCCACAGCTGCTTGTGCTGCAGGAGAATTCCAGGCCATGCAGGAGGGTTTGATGTTAGCATCTCCTCTCCCTGAGGAGAGCCTGTTCAAACTTCTTTCACAAGGGAAAGCACAGGGAAACATCCAATCCACTTTCCTGCTCAGAGCTGACTGTGTCAGCCTGTCCCAATGGCACCAGTGCCCTCCTGCTGTCCTGTGTCTGTCCAGCTGTGACAGTGTGGTGGAGTTCTCTTGTGAGGGAAGCAGGGAGGGTTTAACCAGAGGTCTGTGTTCTTGCAGTGTAGAAAACAGTGGGTTCTCCTCAGTCTGTGACCTGATAAACAGGATGGGCCACGATCAGAGAGCACACACTTGCCAGGGCTGCAGCTTTGAACTGCTCTCTGCTCTTACTCTGCCACTGCTCCTTTCATGTGTGGGGGTTTTTTGTTTGATTTGTCTTTTTTTTTTTTTTTCCCCTCTCCTTTCTCCCTTGCAGAAATTGCACCAATGATGGCAAAGACTATCAAAGCTTTCAAAAACAGGTTCTCTCGAAGATAAGTTTGCAGTGCTGACCTGGGACTTTCTCTCACGGGGAGGAGTGGCACTGGAGGGGGAGAAGGTTCCCAAACAGCCCTTACCCTTGGACTCTTTGGAGGCTGCAGCTGCTGGGAGAAGCTTCAATCTGCACAAGATGACGGCACAGTATTTTATCTTTTATTCTGGTCCCTTTCTCAGTGTCAAGCCCCCCCCCTTCTTTCCCCCCCTGCCCTCAACATCCTGTTTCTGGCTTTGGCATCCGTCGAAAGAAGGGTGTACAGAATCTCCCGACACAGGAAAATGTGAAGTCTTGGCACCTGCTGAGAGTGGAAGATCCAGAGACTTATTTACTATTTAACCTCTTAATAAATTATGAAATGGTTTTAATTAATATTTTGCCCCTCTACCCTGCTCTGTTATTTATGTCACTCCCAGTAGTCTCTCCCCTCCCAGTCCAGTCCAAGGGTCAGCCTCTGTGACTTGAGCTGGAATCCATCTGTCTGAGTGGAAACTGGGTGTCACGGGAGTCTTTCCTTGTGACCTGGTACCTGCTGGGCCCAAAGTCTCACCTGGAGGCTCTGGGACAGGTAGGACTGGTGGCCCATCCACTTGTCACTCCTTTAGCGAGTGCATCAAGTCGCGAGGCTTCGCTCCCTGCTCGTGTGTTAATTAAACCTGAGCTCCTGACCCTCCCCCTGCTGTTGCTGTAGATCCTGTACAGATGCTTTTGTGGCCGTGCAGGGATGCCAAGGGCCTTTGGGGACGTTTCCTCTGCTGCTGTTGTTGTCTTCTGCTGGCTACTGGGAATAGAACTGCTGCGAGGGACTGGGGAGGAATTTTACTCTGCACCAAGTGGGATTTTAACTTTTTACTGGGAGAGGAATAGGGGACTTTGCAATTGAAAGGAGTTTTTAAATATCAATGAAGGCATCGTTTGCCTCTTTCAGTGGAAAGAAGGAATACTTTTATCTTGTTTTCTGTGTGGGATTGGAACGGATTTGTTTCCAGTTTTGGAAGCTGGTGCCTAAATCCTGCCTTTTCCTCTGTATGTTTTGCTCTGCCCCCCCCCTCTTTGGAGGAGTCCAAGGATTGTGGTCTCTGAACCTGGAACCGCTTGGATGAGGTTGGAGGGAAGTGAGTGATGGGACGTGGCTGTTTTATCGTGTGTCCTTCACAGCAGGAGCTCCAAAGGCTCCGCTGTCCTCGCTGTCTGAGGAGCTGGAGCTTGGGAAGGAAAAGGTGACACTCTGGAGCCAGGGGCTGGTGGGAGTGTGAGGAAGTGCCCTGGGGCTCCAGGGGAGGTCGGTGCTGCTGAGGGGTGTGGTGGCAGCTGGGCTGGCTGGACACACCCGGGCTGTGACATGTGGAGCCTCGTGGGGAAGGTTCCTGCTCGTGGGTTGTGTCTGTCCCCAGGTGAGAGCCCCAGGGCTGGTGCAAGCAGAGGATGGGGCTGGTGAGACCCAGGTCTCGTGGTGGCCTCTGTGAGGGCTCAGAGGCCCAACTGGATCGGAGAGGGGAGGGATTCTCCTGTTCCAAGCCATATTCGCTGCCCTAGGACTTTGCTGTCTGGGTGGAAAAGATGCTGGTAGGGGATGCTGTTGTTGTTGGCAGCTCCTGAGAAGCTGTGCTGCTGGCTTTCCGTGGCTGCCAAATCCCAAACCGGTGGAGTTGTCTGTGTGCACTGACCGGGGGAAACCTCGCTGTGAAGGGTCCTCCCTGGAGGGCTCTGGAAAAAAAAATCCCTGTTTGCTTCTGCTTTCTCTTGGGTTGTCTGTTTCTTTCCTCTTTCTTCTTTTTTTTTTTTTTTTTTCTCCCTCCCTTTTAAAAGATTCCTTTCTTTGAAACCATTCTGTCTCCTGTTTATTTGGTTTTTTCTTTCCTTAGTTTGAAGTTCTTGGAGAAATGTTCTCAGACTCTCACGTGCTGTAAGTTTGTTACAGTCCCAGATGCTTTAATGTTACCGTGCAGCATCTTCAGTGTGTGTTGTGCTGTAAAATAATGGCTCCTTTACTCCTGCGTTTTTGCTGTATTTAATTTTTGCTGTATTTTTAATTAGATAACAATATATTTCTCTTTCTGCTGACCGTTGTGCTACCGTTTATTTCTCCTCTGTACGTGGGGCAGGGGCAGAGGGGAGGGGAGCGGAGCTTGGCATCGTGTTCAGACACGATGGGGCTTTGAACAAAGGAGCTGGGTGATGCCCAAGAACAATTTTGGGCGCCGCTAAAACTGCCAGTTAATTAACACCCCAGCTCAGCATTCGGGTGGGGGTGTTGCCCAGTCGTTGCTGAGTTGGGGTGATGCTCCTTCCCTCTCAGAGCAGCCCCTTTGCTGCAGGCTTTGCCAGCCGTGCCCGTGTTTCAGCTCTGTGAGGTTGCAGGGAGGTGACACCATACCTGGGTGACTCTGCTCTGCATCCCACGGGATTGATGCCGATTCTTTGCCCTTCCCTTCTTTTTGCTCGGACACTACAGGGCAGAGGAGGGTCATTTCCATGGGATAAGTCTGGGATTAAAGTGCTTATTCCCAGCCTTGTGCAGTTGTTCCATGCTCCACCACACGCCGAGGATGGAGCAGAGCTGCCTCTTCCCCCTTTCCTGCCCCATCCTGGTGGGATGTTTGTATTTTGGTCCCAGAACTGTGTAAATACGATTTTCTATGTTCCTTTTTTTTTTTTTTTTTTTTGTGGTAACCGAGATGAATATTTTAATTAGATAAGTTATATGAAAAGAGGAAAAAACCATGTCTCAATAAAAAGCCTGACGCTGGACCTTGGGCTGCTCGTTCTTTCCTGGCTCTGACAATGAACGTTGAACTGACAGGGACCCTTGGAGGGTGACGCTCTGGGATTGTGATTCCCGAAGGGAATGCTGCTCCTGCTCCTTTCCTGGCTGGAAAAGGCCCCAAGTTTAGCCCTTCGGAGCCTTTCCGAGACCCTTTTGGGACCACCGGGGGGACTCAGCACGTGCAGCGCCAGGCCACGCCCACGCAGGCGGGGCTTCTGCTCATGTGGGCGGAGCAAGGGGCGTGCCCGGTGTATGTGTCTCTATGGGGCTGTGGGCGTGTCCTGTGTTATGTGGGCGGAGCAACAGGGCGATGGGCGTGTCCTCTCCTCTCTGTGGGCGTGGCTGTCGGTGTGATGGGCGCGTCCTTAGCGCTCTGTGGGCGTGTCCATGTTGGTTGTGGGCGTGTCCATGTTGGTTGTGGGCGTGTCGGTGGGCGTGTCCCGGCGCTGCGCAGGCGCGGTGCGCGGCCATGGCGCACGGGCACGGGCCCGGTCGGTGCCGCTGCTGCTGCGGGGAGGGGGCGGCGGAGCGGGGGGCGGCCTGGGCGCTCCACCTGCGCATCGACCGCCAGCGCCTGCAGTGCCTCAACGAGCGCCGAGAGGGCTCCGGGGCACTCGTGTTCCGCGCCTGGGAGGAGCGCGGCGACCGCGCGAAGGTGGGGGCCGGGGGCTCGTGGGGTGCGCGGCGGGGCGGGGAGGGGGGATCCGGGGTGTCAGAGGATGGTCCCAGACTCTGTTCAGCGACAGGACAAGGAGCAGTGGCCATCAACTAAAACACAGCAAGTTCCACCTCAGCGTGAGGCAGAACTGCTGTCCATGGAGGTGGCAGGGCCTGGAACAGCTGCCCAGGGAGGGTGCGGAGTCTCTGGAGACATCCCAGACCCACCTGGACACGTCCCTGTGTCACCTGCTCCAGGTGACCCTGCCTGGGCATTGGGGTTGGACTGGATGATCTCCAGAGACCCCTTCCCGCCCCAAATACTTTGTGAGGGAGGTGCTGCTGTGCCCCTGAGGCCCTCTGGGGTGATCCCCCTGCTCCCCCCACCAGCCCCAGTCCTGACCTGCTCCTCCTCCTCTCCCCAGTTCGTGGAAAGCGATGACGACGAGGAGCTGCTGTTCAACATCCCGTGAGTCCCACCACCCCTCCTTCCTCCCCTGGGGACGAGGCACAGCGCCTGCCCCCCCAAAAAAGGGGCTGATTTTGGAGAGGCTGGAGGTGCAGCCCCCGCTCTGTGTGTCTGGGCAGGTTCACGGGCAGCGTGAAGTTAAAAGGAGTGCTCGTGATGGGCGAGGACGACGGGACGCACCCGGCGGAGATGAGGCTGTGAGTGAAACCAGCTTTTCACCTTCCTGGGGCTGAGCTGAGCACCCTGCTCTGCAGTTCCTGCTCTGTGGGGCTGTGAGAAGACAAAGCCAATCCAGCTTCTTGTGGAGAAGAATGTGGGCAGTGCTGATGGATGGGGGGGAAAACGATTCTCTGCCCTGCTGTTGACAGCTCCCCGGGTTCCCTTCCTGTCTCCCCAGGTTCAGGAACATCCCTCACATGTCCTTTGATGACACAGCCAGGGAAGCAGAGCAGACCTTCAGCCTGAACCGGGACCCCCTGGGCGAGCTGGAGTATCCCACCAAGTGAGAGACACCCCCTGGGGGGCTGGGGGCAGCTCCTCCCCTGCCACAGGAGCTCGGTCCAGCTTGCCCACCTGCTGCCAAATTTAGGGCAGTGTCAGCCCAGGGCAGAATTTGCCTCCCCACCTCTGTCCTGCCCTTTGCCAGGTGGGAGCTCTGGCCTGAAACCTCCTCCCCTGGAGCCTGGGGGTGGCAGTTCCAGCACCCCAGGGCTTCTTGTGATGTCACGAAAATCTATGTTTTATCTTAAATTCTTAACAAGGAATGCTAAAAGGGTATTTTTAGGGATTTTGTACAAAGGTACTAGTAAGCTGTACCAAAATCCATATAATATAGATTTTAAGGCATCCCTCGGGGTGCAGAATCTCCCTGGTGTCCTGTCCCCTGTCCCTGTCAGCTCGTTGCTGGCCCACAGGTGTGAGGGAACAGCTCCTCCTGCCCCTCAGATGTTTGACCCCCAGTCCCAGTGGGATCAGGGGGAGCTGGAGCGGCAGCTCCGGCCTCAGGGCGTGTTTCCTTCCAGAATTGCCCGCTTCTCCAACCTTTACCACCTCTCCATGCACTTCCCGAAGAACTTCGGGGCGGAGACAACGAAGATCTTTTACATCGGCCTGAAGGGGGAGTGGGCGGAGGTGAGTGCGGCCAGAGAGGGGACCAAGGGGGGCGCGAAGGGCTTGAAATCATTGATTTGGTCCAATCCTGGTGGTGGGACAGAGCCGGGAGCGGTGCGGGGGGGGTTTGGGATCCCCCCCAATCCCGCTCCACCGGGATGTGACACCCCCGATCTCCACCCCAGGCTCACCGCCACGAGGTCACCATCTGCAACTACGAGGCCTCCGCGAACCCCGCCGACCACAAGCTGGAGCAGATCACGCCCCAGACGCACTTCATCTCCTGAGGGATGGGGACGGGGGCGGCGGCTCCCGGGACGGGCGCGGCCCGCGGGCCGGGCCGTGGCGGGCAATAAAGAGGCTGGGGTGTGCAGAGCTGAGCGCTGTCCCTGTGTGCGGCTGTCGCGGGGCGGGGGGGATGGAATTTGTGTCGCCCGGTTGTCGGTGCCCGGTTCCATCATGGCCGCCGCGGCGTCTCCCTTGCCGCCGTATCCGCCGCGTGACGTCACTTCGCCTTCGCGCGGGCGGAAGTTCCGGCGCGAGGCCGGGGCGGGGGGGGGAGAGCCGCGAGGAGCGCGCGCGCCGGGCCGCGGGAGAGGTGAGGGGCGGGGGGGCCGGCACGTACCACTGGGGGGATGGGGAGGGGGAACCGGGGATGGGGGTGGGAAATGTACCACTGCGGGGGAGGGAGAGCCGTGAGGGTCGCGGGGGCGGCAGGGCCCCCTCACGGGGAGTAACGGGGCAGGGGAGCCGAGGGACCCGCGGTTCTGCCTCCCGTAGCGGGGCCGCCCGCTGCCCGCCCCCCCCTAAACCCACCCCAATTAGCAACCCCCCCCCGGGGATCCCCTGCGAGCCCTCCGGGAAAAGCCTCTCCCAAAATCCCGGTTTTCCCGAGGAAAACCGGCGCTCCCGCCCCGGCCGGGGCAGCTCAGGCCGGCTCCCGCCTCCTCTCCATCCGCTCCCAGGATTTGCTTCTCCAGCCCCCCCTGCGGGGCGTTCGGGCCCGTGCGAGCGGCTGGCACCCCGTAATTATTAACGCTAATTAACGCCGGTTTCCCCCCCCACTCCCACCCCGTCCCGATGAGCGTCGGGGAGCAGGGTTGTGTATAAATGTGGATGCCACGCTTTAAACAGCCCCGATCGGAGCCCGCTCCGCCGCCTGTACCGCTGTGGCGGTGCTCCCACACCCACGCGGGCTGGGGGGCTTTGTCCTCCCCGCTGCTCCCGGGGCTGTTGTTTTCCCTCGCGGGGCATTCCCGGGCGGAATTCGGGGCAGCTCTGACCACCCACCCGCAGCCCCTCCTTTCGGCGAGGCAGAGCCGTGAGGGCTGAGCCTGCCCGGGGAGCGGCTCCGTCTGCCAAGGGGTGGGGGGTGTGTGAGGGGTGGGGGAGATGCTTTTCATAGAGGTGGGTTTTTTTTATTTATGGCTCCCGTCGCCAGGATTTTTGGCAGGTGCGGGTTGTTTTGCCCCTGGAGTACACACACGCGAGCACGTGGGGCCGCGTGTCTGTGTCAGATCCGGGGAGCCGGGTGTTTGCCGGTGTTTTTATTGGAGCCGGGAAGCGGCTGACGAGCAGTTCGGGAGGGAACGAGTCGGGCAGGTCTTTGGCCCGGGCTGGGAGAGGAGGAGGAGGAGGCTGTTTCTCTTGGGTAAGGATGTCTGCTGGGATACCGGGATTTGGGGAAGGCTTGGGCGATCCAGACCCTCCCGGGGACGGTGCTGCTGTGGGATGTGGGGCTGGAGCAGACTGTGGGGTCTGCAGCTTCCTCAGAGGGCCAGCTCTGATCTCTGCTCTGTGTGAGCAGAGAGAGGACCTGAGGAACAGCTGGAGCTGTCAGGGAGGTTTTAGGTTGGATCTCAGGGAAAGGTTCTTCCCCCAGAGGGTGGTTGGCACTGAACAGGCTCCCCAGGGCAGTGGGCACAGCCCCAGAGCTCCAGGAGGGTTTGGACAGTGCTCTGAGGGACAGGGAGGGATTGTTGGGGTGTCAGTGCAGGGCCAGGAGCTGGGCTGGATGATCCTTATGGGTCCCTTCCAAGTCAGGATATTCTGTGATCTTGCT